CTTTTCTTGAAAATGTTGCTGTGTAACCTGATAACCCAGATCAAAATCCGGCATGGGTCAGTTGCGCGCTCCGCACAGAAAAGTCTGCAGGTGATTCTAATTCCATTGGATAGTTGAGCGCAAATTGAGAGGTAAGGGACAGTAGCGCACAGCGGTCAGAAAGGTTTGCATAAATTTGAAGGGTCAATACCATAAATTTCATAAACAATTGTTGCCGTCGCAGTCAGAGTTGCCAATTGGCGGATGATTTCGGATATTTTGTTATTGAAGCACCTAACCCAAAGATTTGATCACAATTTTGCTTCGATTAAAATTCTCTGTGAATTAACTTGTGTAACGTAACTGGTTATTGGAAAAAATATTTTATTGCTCTTAAATTTTCTACCAATAGGTTTATCTTGTAAAAAATTAAACAAAGTGTTGAGAAATTAATTTATTTTTTTATAAATCTATAAGAAATACTTTACAAAAGTAAATAGATCTGCTGATCTTATCATCCCTATACTTCTAGACATATGCTATGTTGCTATGAAGCTGTAATGTACGACGCTTCGGATCAGCTAGGTATCTGTGCGCAATGACAACCCAAGTGAACAACACCCAAAAATTCGCAGTCTTATATTTTGAAAACAAATAGAAATTTAGAAATTCTGTAAACGCCATTATTTTCACTTAAAAGGTGAAGATCAATTTAATACATTGCAAACATTACGCATAGATGTGATAGCATCGGCGTAGCGAAACAAACATATATTTGTTTAAATTGCAAGGTATATATGTATTTATAAAAATATTTATATTAACAAAATTCTATAAATTTGCATCGCGTCATTGAAGCCATATACGTGCCGTTTTTGTAGTGTACTAAATTAAGCTTCCTATCCCCCTTCAGACTAAAAACAATAGCGTTTGCGGAATTTCAGTACTCGTATCCGTTCTCAGGGTAAAAGACCGTGGGGTTTTATCTAGGACGCCTATATACAGGTGCCTCAGCTAAAATTCCGCAGCAAAATATTTTGAAAATGGATAGAGATAATGAAATTTTGTAAACGTCATTATTTTTAGTTTGAAGAGGAAAGCTTAATTTGGTACATTGCAAGTACGACACTTCCGATGCAAACCTATATTTTTTTAAATTACAACCTATATATTTTTTAAGGGATTCTGAGAGATAATTAAATTACGACTACAATGATATACAATAATAAGGGCCGGGTTATAAAAAGCGAATTGAATATTTAATGCTCGATTAATTTAACGCAGGATTAAAACGTACCCCTAGAGTACGAAGAAATAAGTCTCCCGTTTCTGTCTGTCTGTCCGTCTGTCTGTCTATCTGTCTGTCCATATGTTTGTCTGTCTGTCCGTCTGCCGTCCCGATTTTTTATTACACAGATAATCTCCGAAATTACACTTCAAAATTGTACATAGTAAATGGGTTTTAAATTGTATGAAATAACATAGTCCTACACATGTAGTTTATGATTTCGTATTGAGTTTTTACCCGAAGATTTTTGGAAAAAAAATCAAAATTATAAAACAACATTTTGCAATTTAATTTTGAATCTGCAAAACCGAATGCTTTGAAATCTTGCAGATGTTTTAAAGTTATGATATGCATGATAAATGTTTAATCAAAATGTATTTACTTATCCCCTCCAAAAAATTGATGACTTTGACTCAAAATTTTTCCGAATAAATCCCATCTAAATTGTACAAAATATGATGAGCATGTCCTTGTAATTTACCATTGCTTTCATATTTTTTTGGATTTTCATATACAGAGTGACTCAAAAAAATTAATGAAAGCGTGAATTTATTTTACTGATTTAATCGGGAACTACAAAACCGAATGCTTTGAAATCTTGGAGATGTTTTAAAGTTATCATAGATATGGTATATTTACTCATCCCCCCCCCCTAAAAAATTGATGATGTTACCTCAAAATTTTGCTGAATAAATCCTATCTTAAATGTGCGAAGTGCGATCAATACTTGTGATTTATCACTGCATTAATATTTTTTAGATTTGCTTATACGGGGTGTCTCAAAAAAATTAATAGCTGAGTCAATTTATTTAATTGATTAAAACAAAAATTGCAAAACTGAATATTTTGAAATCTTGCAAACATTTTGAAGTTATTGTAAGCGTGGAAACTTTTTTACTTTTAGTTTCATTTTACATACAAATTTTTATTTTGACTTAACAAGGGTTATCGTAAAAAATAAAATTCGCAAAATCAAATCTTTATTTTTTTTTTAAAGAGCTGAATTTGAAAAGCTGTACTTTATGGTCCAGGGAAGTTCTGTCGAAGTAATCTTCGACCAATTTTTTATTATTATCTACAAATATTTCAAATATCAATATTTCAGTTTCAGCAAATAGAACACTCTGCATTTTATTACTACATGTTATTCTTTCTTTTTTGTTGTCCTTTTTTGACTTAAAGTTGACAGTCATTACGATTCTTCCATTTTTTTAAAGACACCGCCACATTGAAAGAAAAGGAACACACAATATAGTAAAATGTAGTAATAAAATACAGGCTGTTTTATTTGAAAAAAAAAAAAACTGAAATATTGGCATTTGAAAATTATGACGTTTCAGATTTTTTATAAACACCCTGTATGTTAAAATTTTGATTTAAATTGATACCACAACAAAACGTGCACCTCTGTTTGCTTCTCCATAAATAGTGCAACACAGATCTAGAAAATAAAATTATTAGGTACCATTGTTTTTTATCAACCCTTGTTTGCTTAAATTCAAGGAAACTGGAAAAGCGTTGTAACATCGTTTGGGAATTTGAAATACAAACTATGGTAGGGAGAGGCTAATAAAACTATGTGAATACACATATATATGAAGTTCTATTTAAAGAAAAAAAACTAATTTGTGTACTATGCCTCTAAAACAAAAACACTACATAGTCGAAAATAATTTTAATATATGCTACTCAAAGAACCGTAGAAGATTAGTCTTTAACTTTTTTCTATTTGTAATAAGTAATTAATGAGATATCGAGGACTGAGCCTTTAGTGGCTCACCTTGTATACCATGTATTTCTTTTATATCATACAACCCCCGTAACTTTTTTATTTGTAAAGATAAACATATAGTTCTTTAAGTAAATCTGTATCATTTTAAAAGATCAATTATCTGAATAAATGTCAATTTCCCAAGTTACCAGTTTGTCATCAATAAATATGAATTTTTCGTCTATTTTATTAAATAACTTTTTAAGTATGATTTTAAAATATTGGTTGCTTTTGATTTTTTTCGAAAAATCAATATTTCCTTTTATGAAAAAATATATCTAGTGTTCCATAAAAAAAATTAAGTTGACGTAGTTTCCGGTTATATCGGAAGTGATAGTAAAAATGTGAGGTTGCCATCACATAGATCTTCTAAAATGATACAAATTTGCTCAAAGAATTACAGGTTTATTTTTAAAAATAAAAAGTTACAGGGAATGTATCAAATAAAACAGACGCCCTGTATAATATAAACTTTTTCGAAAAACTGGTTTGAAGTTATTTAAATAGAACTTCCTTCAGCCGAAATATAAATATAATAAATTAAGTTTTTTAAAGAAATTAGAAATTTTGATTCTAATTTTCTTTTCTGTACGATAATGCCCATATTTCAACATAAAAATAGAGGCAATTTTTTTAAATTACACCTGACATAGCATGCTAGGCTGTATGTCTCAAATTAAGTTATCTCAAGAAAGTTTTGGTGAAGTTATCAACATTTTAGTGGAATCAAGTGCATATGTCGGTTACGATGCGTACAACATAATACTCGTAAGAACAACAGGACTTTGCATCATGAAATTTAAGAAAATGAAGTAAGTTCCTTACAATATAATCAATAAAATTAATTACTCAACTACTTAAATGATTTTTTTATACATCATGTACATGTAGTAATAATATATAGTGGGAACAGCCAAATAGTGAACATTGACTTTTTAGTTTATTGGAAGGTTCCAGTAAATCGCCTAAAATTATGATAACGACAGTTTACGACCCTGACCTCTCCAGTAAGTTGCTTCCTTGAAAAGAACATGGTTCTATGAATCTGACGTGCATGAACACATTTTACAGAAACAGAACAGGAAGCTTATGTTCAGTATATGGGTGTCTCGACTATACAAATATTATATATTTTTGATTCAAAAGATCACACCTATTTAATGTGGTTTTAGAACACAGAAACACTGGCTACTGAATGCCGACACTGATTTTAAAGCCGGTCCGGTCCGTTGGAACAGGTGTATCAGATGGAATACTGTGATCAGGACAAGACAGCTGGCAATAAAAATAAAACTGTTTAAAAGTTATTATTTTCCGAGGTCAGCCCGTTTAACCAGTTATCTCATAAACGATATAATTATTAATGATAATTAAAATTTCTTTTTGTCTATTCATGCTAATAACATTTTTGCAGGGAATGAATAGACAAATGTTGGTGATCGTTTTACTATCTTCATGATAATCTTAAGGTGTACTTAGAAATCCAAAGTAATCGGTTAAATAGCTTCAGAAACTAACGTAGGAAACAGCAATTTTCAGTTTCGTGTTGTAAAGTGAAATAAATTTTCCTTAATCTTAACAATCGCAGTGAACGTTGAAGTGTATTAACATTAATAACAAAAAAAGAAACTAAAAACTAAGCAGTTGATGAAAAATCGCCCTCGTAAAAAACCAACGTGAGTGCAAAACTCCGGTGGATTTAAAGCGAAGCTTATTTATTAGCTTTATCCACGAACCTGCGTATAATTTAATCGGGGCTTCCTCCTATTCGGCCTTGCGTTTCGACGTCATCGCACGACCCGAAATAATGTTAATTCTTGATAAACGGACTAAACATTATCCAATTGAAGCCGGCAAAAAAATTATCGCATCATAAATTTCATAGAATGGCAAGACTGTCTACTTGCATCCGTTATCTTCTTACAAACAAAACAAAGAACAAGCAGAGGTGCTGTTCACTGGTGATAACGTATCAATCCGGAGTCGGCGTCTGAAAAACATGTTATTTCCAGCCGACAATGAACACAAACGTGATTTGCAAACAATAATTAGTGCCGGAAGCGCGCTTGAAGTTCTTCGCACCGAGGCCCTAGAAGGTAATCCAATTTTATTTTAAAGTTAACCGTTTTAGTGAAGGTGCAAGTTTACTTACTTTTGTATGTATTCTTAATGCTATTTATATTTACGTAGGCTAAGATTTTTTTGTGTTTGTGTTATCGCAGCAAATGAAATATGTAATAAGGTAGTATATTTTAGTTACATTATGAGAAACGTAGGAAAGTATATTATAATTTAAATTGGAATGTGTAAATTTAACCATTCTCATGAGTTCAGCCACTGGCCAACATAAAACTTTTATATTTACTTATTAGTGTTCGTCCACAATTGTATCAAATTTGTTATAACACTGGATCCATAATACACATACAATTTGTAAAAAGCTCAAGATTTTCTGGTGCTGTAAACTTATATTCTGGAATTCCCAACTAAGTATTAGTATAAAAATTTCGAAGAAGCTTCTTATTTAACCTCGCAAATAAATTGCAAAATTTAATTGTTTAAACAAAATTACGTACTTAACCTAAAAATACCAGTGGGTTGTTAAATCATCATAACTAAAGAAGTTTTTGAGATGAAAACTGCTAATAGATCGACGACCAATCGACACATTCCTGCAATGATATTACGGTACTTCCCTTGATTATCACTTAAAGTAAAAATGATAGTACACACGTCAGCCTTTTGTTCTGTTTTAATTTTTTTCCATGGTAGTAAACAATATTTTTTTTTACATTTTACTATTTTACTATGGTGTGCTGATGTGACGTCCGATTGTACCTTCATATAAAAATAATCTTATGGCTAAATATTGAGGAGTTCTCTTACAAAAACTAAAGGGTGACAATTCGGTGATGGTGATGGTGACTGCAACGACACGCGATTGTTTCATATTAGTTAGCATACCACAAAGTCTGTTTTTTTTTCATTTACTCAATAAATATTTTTTTAAATAATAAGTAAAATCCGAAAGAAATGAATATTGTTTACTGTTCAGTTTCTTGATGGATAGCTCTAACAGAGCGTATTTGTGGAATTTACTTAAAAATATAACAAAGTTCCTCCCTCCCAGAGTGATGAGACAAAGAACCCTATCATTATTTATTAATCAGTCTCCGTATTCATGACAGTCTTTTAGACCACCAGATGAATCCCTCGTCTGTGTTCCTTATGAATAAATGAAAAGTGTTTGTACTTATTACTGGAAGACTCATCACCATTAAAGTCGTCACTAATTCATGCCCAATACAAACAGAACCAGAAGTTGGCGGTACAGAAGTTTGAGTTGCGAATGAACTGTATTAGATATTTATAACATGTCTTGTAAACTTTGAAAGTTTTGTATCTCATACTGAATAATTATTGCTACAGCAATTCCATTGGGAAATGGAGTTGCTGACACCCTTCGACATTGCTTCACTTGAGTAACATGAATGTCGTCTTCGTAAGTTTTGAACTATATGACAACTTTATATAACTAATAATTCGGTCTAATAAAAAAGCGTCTTCTCTTCAATTCCATAAGCATACACTTTATGCGAAACTTGTCGCTACCGTGTTGTGAAATAGAACTTACATTTTTTTGTTCCATTCTTCCTTAAATTATTGGTTTTTCTAAACATTATTTATTATTATTATTAAGCACGGCTGAGAATCATTTTTAATGTTGTTTTCGTTGCCTTAAAGGCTCTAAATCTCCCCATTATAATGTTTTATTTATTTCCCGTGTAGAATGTGTTTTGACATTTGCAATAGGCGGAAATATTTTTTCGTATTGAAACGTTTTGAGCTAATTTATAGTCTTCTACATCGTTCTTTTTTCCTTAAAATTACAGAAAATCATCGAGTCAGTCCAATGCAAATTCGCAGATTATTCGTGCGAAAAAATGCATTCGAGACTAGCCACTTTCATGTTTCCTCGACGTTCTATGACCCCTGCAATACGAAAAAATAGATCTTCCATTTCCATCTGTCTGCTTGCTTTCCGCCGTCTACCGTCTGTCATCTATGGCGATCTTTATGTTATGGTTATGGATATGGTCGAACGCTAACCAAAATTTGGTAAATCATGCCCACTAAAAATTTGATGACGTTCCCTAATTTTTTTATTGAGCACCATTTAAATTTCATACAGTAACATGTTCATCTGCTTGTGGTTTATGAATCCGCCTTGATGTTTTACCTTGATGTGTAGATAACCGTGGCCGTGCTGCAAAAATGTTTAATTACTAACAATCACATTTTTTATTCAATCAAGAATGATTCGCCCCATTTTCTCGAATATAAGAGAATACAGTAATGTTGCTCCCACCTATACTTAAAAATAATTAAGGAAGAATTATCATGATAGCAGCTACTTGCCTACTACTTACATTGTATTAGTGAGATGTTACTTACATTGTAGCTAACCCGAGGAGGGTAGAATAAGAATTATTCTACCCTCCTCGAGCTAACCTAATAATTTTAGTCGCCTCTACAGTTTGAGAAGGCAGTTTGCTTAACAGTCACATTCTTTCTATGTATAAACATATATAATCGAAGTTAAGCATATTAAGAAAGAACTGAACAAGATGAGTAAATCAAGTTGTCATAGATCAATCAAAAGCAATGGGAGTAAGACGTTTACGTCACCTTCGTTTACCCGGTTTTCTATCTTTTTTTTTTTTATAAAATAGCACTAATGATTTTTTCCAATTAGTTATTATCTGCTTTAAATATGTTTGGCTTTTTGGTTGTCTATGCGAACTGCGCCCTTCGTAGCGTACGGGTTGCGAGGGTGTTATTTACGTCACTGCATAGCATGCTGCTTTAACTGTACTTTAACAGTCCACACATATCTTTTTTTCACTTATAGGGGTTGTCAAAAAAATTAATAAAGGTGTTTTTAACACACTACACCTCTGTTTTATATCCCTATGCATATATGGACTACTAAGCTTTAACGATCCTTATAAATCACATTCGTTATGTTCCAGCCATTAATTTACTTTTTACGAGACATCAACGAATTTCAGAAACAGTACGCTATCATCGCCCTTGATAAATTCTAATCAAAGCTAAATATCTTTATTAGCATTAGGTACTTTTTTCTAAAACCAAATGACTTTTTACGTTCCAAGTAAACTATGAAGGCTTGTATGTGGATGTATTTGACGGCCATATGTAAACTGCGGCGCAATTAATCCACCAGTTGATGATGAAATGTTCATGTCTTGTAAATTTGATGATACAAAGATATAGTAACTATGAATTACTGGAAGCCCATTTCTTCTTCACTTTAGTACGTGTCGAATCTGTGATGATTTTTCGAAAAAAACCCCTAGAATTACCTCGGTTGACTCTACCTTGACTTTAGGATAAATTTAAATAATAAAATTAAATTTCACTCCTAATGTCTTTGCCATTTCTATTGAAACACCACTTGTTGATCGTAAATTTGGCAACGTTCATATTCAGACAATTTTCTAACTAAAAGCCGTTGTCAATCAACCGAAAACTATTAGCAATTGCTAAATTTTAGGCAAAATCAACAGGTGGTGCTTCAATAGAAATGGCAAAGATTATATGTATTTTTCATTATTTCAGAAAGAAAAAATGCATAATAATCAGATTTCCTTATAATACAAATACCTTAAAATTATTCGTGTCGCTTTTGCAGTATTAATACTAATTAAACGTAGAAGGTAATAATATAAAAAAAAATGGTCGGAAGTTGTTTCGACAGAACTTCCCTCGCTCCTGAAGTACAACGAAACATATCCAACATTTTCGAGTTGAGTTTTTTCTTTACACAATTTTGAGATGTCGTCATCAACATTTTTACAAGGACACGTATATCAACTTGGATTGGTGCGGTGTAATACCAGAAATAACAGTATTGTATTTCCAAAATTTGCTGTGAGAAAGGAGTGAGCCGTTCCTGATTTATGAATAAAATAAAATGACTAATTCATTAATTTTTTGAGCCACCTGTTTAAGTAAATCTAAAAAATATGAAGGCAATGATAAATCACAAGTAAAAACTCATCACATTTTGCACATTTTGGGTAGAATTTATTCGGCAGAATTTTGAAATGACCTCATCAATTTTTTGGGGTTGATAAACAGATACACTTTGATTAAAAAGTTACCATGCTTACAATAAGTTCAAAACGTGTGCAAGATTTCAAAGTATTCAGTTTTCCAATTCTTGATTTAATCAATAAAATACATTCACTCAGGCATTAATTTTTTTGAGACACCCTGCATAAACAAATCTAAAAAATATTAATGTAGTGATAAATCACAAGTATAGACTCATCATATTTTGCACATTTAAGAATTTATTGTGATGTCATCATTTTTTTAGGGGGGGATGAGCAAATACATTTTGATCAAAAATTGGCCATGCTTATGCTAACTTTAAAACATCTGCAAGATTTCAAAACATTCGGTTTAACAAATTCAAAATTAAATGGCAAAAATTTTGGTTATTTTCCCAAAAATCAAGACGTTTCGGGTAAAAACTCAATGCGGAGTCATAAACTACATGTATAGGACTATGTTATTTTATACAATTTAAAAGCCATTTACTATGTACAATTTTGAAGTGACGTCATCACATTATTGGTGGGGATGATTAAACAAAATTTGGTTTGCGTTTTACCATGTACATCACATTCCTAATAAGTATAATGCAAAATTTGACAACAATCGGCCCAATACTTTCGGAGATTATCTGTCTAATAAAAATCCGGGACGGCAGACAGACAGACGGACAGACAGACAGACAGACGGAAACGGCAGACTTATTTCTTCGTACTGTAGGAGTCATGAAAAGTCGAAAAAACGTAAAAGTAGTGAGTCGGCCGATAGACTCGATTACAATACTTCTCGAGCGTAAGCGTAAGAAGAGGAATCTTTCTCAAATCCTGTGAAAGATCCTTCTTAATTCACTTGTAGAGATTAAAATATTTTCTCCGTCTGCCGCAATTTACATTTGACAAATAACTAGTTTTTTAGGCTTTTCATAGTTTCTAAAATATAAAACACTAGGTGT